TTCTCTGATATAAGAGCACACATGTGGTTCACTTTGTGTGCTGTTTTTAATAAAGGATATTTTAAAGCTTTTTAAACTTAAAATAACATCAGCCTTACCCTTGAATGAATTTTTAAAAAGTTAACTCTGGCAAAAGTGAGTGTATTCAGTCTTTACCACTGTTTCATATAATCTAAGCTTTTCTTTCTCACTTTGTGCAGTGACTTGTAGCAGTAGTCTTCCACTGCCGCCCCTCCCCCCCCGCCGGTTTCCAGTGGGAACAGAAGCAGCACTGGTACAGTAGTTCAAAATAGTTTTATCAGCCTTTTGTGTTAGTGTGGCGTGCCAGACTGAGCGATCTACCAGGAACACAGGAACAGCTTTTCAGTCTTTGTATCTCTCCCCAAATGTCCCACAAAGTTTTTGTCTCTGAATGATATCTAACTTTTTTGTTTTTGACTGCTCAGATTTCCTCCAGTCGGCTGTCAGAGCTACATCAACCCTGAGGATTTGATTTCAGGGGGAAGCTTTGACTCCTGCTCAGACACCACGGTTGACCAGCGTGGGCCCTGACACTAGGGCTGATTAGGGTCCAAACGCTCTTCATGAAATGTATTTGTGATCGATGGTCCGAGCAGCGTGGGAGTTTAAAGTGACTGTCAAATGGAATTGCCCATAAAGACAACGACGTGCTGCAAAACAAACACTTTTCTGTTTGAATCCATGGACTGAATCATGACAGTTATACTGAGCAAACGTTGACAGATAATGAGTAAACGTATGAGCAATTAGTTTTAAAAGGCCAACTTTTCACTAACTCCTCACTCATTCATTTTAACTGTAAGATGAAAAAGAAAATTATTATTATTATTATTTTGTAAAGCCTGGGTGTATTTTGCCGGCACTGGGTGTAGTTTGTGATTCATATTTATAAACTTTAACATTAATACAACACTCATGGCAGTTTTATTGTCTTTTATATTTGCTTGGGTTGGATTATATTTGCAGGTTCTGTAAAAAACCAATTATGTGGTTTAACACAGTTCCTTCTCTTGATGTATTACAAGATGGCCCCTCTTTCATTTCCTCCTGCTGACTCCCCTCACACATGAGATGACAGTCTGACTTTGGACTGGATCAGCTCTTGAGGCATCTTAAGATACATAATGCGTCTACAAGGTGGGTCGAGACTGGAGTCCTCACGTGTAGTAAATGGTCTTGAATGAGAAGGGTTTATGGCTCCAAACCAGATCCTAGAAACCTGTATCATGAGATGTTTACTACATTAGATGGGTCTGGAGCCACCATGAATTGGGGCTCATTCTGCCCTAATGTGTGTGGATGTGTTACTCCAAGTGGTATTATAAAGTATTGTATACCTGACCAACCCAGTGCTGTTGGAAAACAATTTACTCTAATGAGCGTTTTGTCTTTTTGTTCACCACAATAAGATTTCACAGTGTATTTATCCTTTTACTGCCAGTGCTTTCTGTGTATGGGAACAAGTCTTTGGGGGCCAGTGGGTGTCACATCCTGTAATTCCTACTGTAGCCACTTATCAAAATGGCCTTGCAATACAGGTTACAGACATCCTTTTTTGTTTTGTCTGCCACTGTATGATCAGATCAAAAACTTAAACCCCATTTAATTTCCAGAGAAACACAGAAACATGTACCCTACCTGATTTTAGCCCTGTCTTTGTTGGAGTGCACAGAAGTGCATTGTGTTACAATAGGCATATATAAGAATACAGTAATTTAGCCAAATCACACTACAAGGAGGATTAAGTTTATTTTAGTAGAGCTTATGTCTGATTTAATAATAATAAAAGATGATGTTTCTGTGCTTACACCTGTACAGGCTAATGTATTTTTCATACCCTGTTCTATTACCTACTGCATGGGGATGCATGAAACACCGCGTTACGTGCGCGCCCAGTTTGGCTCTTGGTGCCTTTTCCGCGCGTACGGGTGCGTCTCCTACTGTGCTCTGCGTGTCCATTTGCCGGACATCACGTCACGTGTCAGGGCTCCTGGCTCCCGGGCCAAGTTTTTTCGTGTCAAATCATCCACGGAGCTTCAGCACAGCAATCTACACGGTGCGAGCCTCCCGCGCGCATCTCCGCTCCACGCCGCGTAACCAACACCTCAGCGACGATGGACGGATAGATGGATGCATGGCTGTGGATAGATGTTCCCGTTTAACAGAACGCTCAAACCAAGACCACTTCAAGTAATTTTTGATTACTTCCAGTGATTTTAAACGTCTCTCGGATTACATTTGTTCCGTGAAAAGGCAAAAGGAGATATTTTTTTAAGAGGAAAGAAAAGGAAAGCTCCGGATTGTGAGAAAGGCTGGGTGCGCTAGAAACACGGAAAGTCACGGATCATGCTTATGGGAACTTCTTATTCCGTATTGATAAGGTATTTAATATATATAAAGTTAATCGTGCCATCTTTTAGTATCTACTGAGTCCACTTTTTAACGAGGAAAGAAGAAAGCGTACTGTAGGTGATGGGCACTTCATTCCCTCAGGCAGGCTGTATTTCCCTAGACACTGTTTTAAATGTGTATGTAAGTACTTTCAACAGCTACTCCGGTGTTTAATCTTTTCCTATTTGGCGTACAGTTCTCTCAGGAGAACACGGAGCTGCCTCAAGCGTCAGATGCGCTTTTCTCTGATAAGGGCAAACGACGGACAGCAAGGCTTCTTAAAAGCCCTTAAAAGAGAAAAGTCCGTTTGCTGAATATTGATGACTAATGTTTTGTTCTAGATGTTATCCTGCTTAATATAATAATCAGGATTAGTGTGGCATTTATTGTTTTTTTTGCGCATTCCCTGCCCACCACTGCGTGGTGAGGGCTAAAAGCCTCCAGAAGACCAGAGACAGAGCAGTCCATCTGTTCAATCACATAGCAACAGGAAGCCAGAGAGAAGTGTGGAAAAAAATCCCCACTATTCTCATAATATCACGGAATAATTCTGTGGTACTCATGGCATTTATTGTTTCATCATAGTACTGGATAAATGTGTTGTGTTTTGAACTATTTGGTGTCACTGAAACAGCAAAAAAAAAGAAAAAAGAAGTAAATTCACTGTATCTTTTATGTCATATTCACACTCTAAGTTCTATGTAATCCTATTTTCTATCATAGGGATAAAACAGCTCTTCTTATTTTTATTGGAGGCAGTGAAATAAGAAACCATTTGACCTGAAAAAGAGCTTTGTGATTTAAATGCTCACATGAAGCCATGTTAGTAAATATTGAAAATTTGTGGTCAGGCTTGTGATAGACCAGCGACCTGTCCAGGGTGGACCCTGCCTCTCGCCCAGTGTCAGTTGGGATTGGCTCCAGCCTGCCGCCCCCCTGTAAGCGGTATAGATAATGGATGGATGGATGGATGGATGGATGGATGTGGTAAGAATGATTGGAAGCAAGTGCTTTTGCTGCTGAGGGATTTGAGGAGGAAATGGCCTGAGTGTTTATTTGGCTCATTAAGTGGTTTGTTTCCTGTTGCTCTTTGCTAAGCTCTCTCACTGGTTTTCTGCATCTTAGCAAAATTGTATTTTAATTTTCAATTTATATTTTGCATCTCTGGTCACACTGTCTTCCATTGTTTCGGCTCCACCCCTCCCGCTTTCTGCCTCTTTTTAACCTCTGTCTCTCTGACCTCCCTTCAGAGTGGCTCTGCCTGATGCTCTATCATGACTGATGGCGAGGGGAGAGCGTGCTTTCAGTATGCAGAGGGCCAGGAGGGGCAGGAGCAGGGGGAGCGGCAGGAGGAGGTGAGGCTCGCTATACCGACGCCCTACCTGAATGACACACTGGGACACGATGTTGACCTTGGAGGAGGTTACGAAGAAGAGAAGGAGGAGGATATGGAGAGGAGGAGGTGCAGAAGTGGTCAGCGTGATGGAGGAGATGAATGGAGTCCTAAGGGTCTGGGGCACGAAGAGCAGGACCCGGAGCTGGAAGTGGACGTTGGACCAAAACTGGGAGTTCGCATGACAGCTCCTATTCGTGATCCAGACTCTGTCTCTGAGGAGGAGGAGCAGCAGCCGTACCCAGCCCTGGCCCCCATAGCCTTCTTCTGCTTGAAGCAAACAACAAGACCTCGCAACTGGTGTCTTCGTGTTGTCTGTAACCCATATCCTTTCACATGATGGAGATCTAACTGTGACACCTGGTAAGACCACATGTACTCACATGTATCACTTGGTTTAAACATTTCACACAGCTTTACGCATGGAAATGTAGCAACTTGCTTGGTCCTGTGAGACTAAACAAGCCCCATTGGTGGGTTCCACGCTACTGAACTTTGACAGGTCGTTTTGTCCAAATGCTGGGGTGAAACGTCTTCAGACTGCCACAGTTTTGTTTATAGAAATTTAGTAATGAAGGAGGGCAGCACGGTGGCACAGTGGTTAGCGCCGTTGCCTCACAGCGAGAAGGTTCCGGGTTCGGGCCCCACCTGGGACCTTTCTGTGTGGAGTTTGCATGTTCTCCCTGTGCTTGCGTGGGTTCTCTCCGGGTGCTCCGGCTTCCTCCCACTGACCAAAGACATGCAGCTTAGGTTGATTGGTGTCTCTAAATTGCCCATAGGAGTGCGTGCGTGTATGTGTGGTTGTTCGTCTATGTGTTAGCCCTGCGATGGATTGGCGACCTGTCCAGGGTGTACCCCGCCTTCGCCCGATTGCCGGCCGGGATTGGCTCCGGCCCTACCCGTGACCCCGTTCAGGGACTAAGCGGTAGAAAATGAATGAATGAGTAATGAAGGATGTGGCTGTAGGTAGAATAACTGGCCTTGCTGCAGTTGTCTTGAGCTCTCAGCTGGTTTCTCTGGGTTTTTTTTTTTGTTTTTTGCCCACCTCTGCCCAGTGGACAAGTTTTGAAATACCTGTATAAGTACAGCGCATTTAAACTGAGGAATCGTCATCATTGATATTTAAGCAAAAGAACATTGCTTCTCCATTTCCTTTCATTCTTTTTCTGTCATTCTGTATCACACCACATTATCACATCACATTTTCTGGAAGCCATTTTGTGCTAACCATTTAAATTTAATATAGGAATGCCAAAAAGTCCAAATCAGTTTTTACAGTAGCTGCTCACTTCTCTTTAGCTTCTATTATTACCCTTCAGCTGTGCATCCTGCCTGGGTAATTTTCATCTGTGGGATGTTTTACACTGGAGCTTAGACAAAAAAAGAACATAATGTGCATCCAAATCCAAGCACTATGAAAAGAACTTGTAGATGAACCACTGCAGTATCTTTTGATGTTCTGATGTGTCTACGTGGGTGGTGCAGCAACAGAATCAGGACTTGAGTCATATTTATTTGCTAAGTACATTTCAGTGTACCCCTCCTTGAACCCTCGGCAGACGCCTCATTTCTCTTATTTGTTTTCACTTTCCAGTTCTGTGTGATGATGTGCAGTGGCTGTTTTGTACTTGCCATAGTTGGACATTATGTACCAGGAATCATGATCTCCTATATTATAGGTGAGTATCTTCATTCCCAATTGGCATAAAAACCTAATTCTTAATGAGATGTGTACTTGTGACCGTAGATGGTTTTTTTTTTTTTTTTTTTTTTTTTTTTAGCAAGTGGATAATTCTACATCAACTATATCTCTTCATGCTGTCCCACATTTATAGATCGCATAACTGGGTTCCCTGCCTTTTTTCAGAAAATACTGCCCGTCAGCATCTTGTTTTGACACTTGTGAAGAATATGCTTCATCTTTTTTGTCTGTGCCCCTGTTCAGTCCTGAGCGTGCTTTTGTGGCCACTGGTGGTGTATCATGAACTCATCCAGCGAATGTACACAGCCTTGGAGCCAATCCTGATGAAACTGGACTACAGCATGAAGGGAGATACAGAACACCGCAAGCATGACAAGAGGAGTGAGTGACACCGTGACACCTTCAGGCCATAGATTTAGGACTGTAACATTAACGCAGGACTTGCAAGAAGGAACTGTTACACAAAGAACTTGAGTTTCTTTTTGCTCATACCAAACCTCGGACACAAGCTACTGCCAACACAGAAAGAATATCAGGCACTGTAACACCACTGTAAATAGAACCGTGTAGACTGTCAAAGGAGTGTGATTTGAAGTTCCTCAGGTTCATACAGTAGATCCTGTTTCTCATGTACAGTATGTTACATTTAGTGTACTGTAGGTTTATTCAAACGGTATAGTACAGAACCAGGAGCTGTTACTTCTTTGAATCAGATCTTTCAGTCATTGGTTTTCTTCAGCAGGGTGGCATTTTAAAAGTGTGCATGTGTGTTTTTAACAGAGGTGAAGAAAGAGGTTGACGAAGGTGATGAGCCAAGAGCTGAAACAGAGAGTGAGAGCGAGGAGGAGCTGTCCTGTTTTGCCCCAACGGTATGGACACACAACCATGTGACACTGCCACATAGAGCAGACTTATGTCAGTGTGTATGGTTGCAGCTGGAAGTGGTTCGCTATTGTCAGATCACCACCTGGTGGTGAGCTGGATGGGATGGCAGGGGAGGAAGCTGGACAGGCTCAGTAGACCCAAACATATTGTGAGGGTCTGTTGGGAATGTTTAGCAGAATCCCTTGTCGGAGAGATCATCAAATCCCACCTCTGGCAGAGCTTTGACCAGATCCGGAGGCAGGTTGGAGACATTAAGTCCGAGTGGACCATGTTCCCATTGTCGATGCGGCCGTTCGGAGCTGTGGCCGTAAGGTCTCTGGTGCCTGTCGTGGTGGCAATCCCCGAACCCGGTGGTGGACAATGCGGTTTTCGTCCTGGCCGTGGAACACTGGACCAGCTCTTCAGGGTGGCGGAGGGTTCAAGGGAGTTTGCCCAACCAGTCCACATGTGTTTTGTGGATCTGGAGAAGGCATTCGACCGTGGCCCTCGCAGCACCCTGTGGGGGGTGCTACGGGATAAGCGGAGGAAAATGGATAGATGGATGGATTTCAGTGTACGCTGGAATCTAATCAGTAAGATATTGAGAGTATTTAAATGTTAGTAAAATCACAAAATGCAAACTCTACGTATTCTCTCTCCTCAAATCTTTTGTCTGCTAGTGTTGTTGGTAGGATGTAACTGTAGATGTCAGCTGACTGCAGTAGACCTTGACTGGCTGCATACACAGATGATTTTGTAACAACACTGCATCATGTACAACGCGTGTGTGTTTGTGTATCGTCCTATAGCAGTGGAAGTTCTTTCAGGGACATACTGTAGACAGGGAGCTAAATGGATACATGCACACGCTTGTTCCTGAGAACATACAGTAGCTGCAGCATGACTTGTTTATTTTCTTCATCCGATTGTCAGCTCCAGAAAAGGGACTTGATGATTCATACCCCAGACTGACTGACACAGTGATGCCAGTCAAACCCACATTGATGATTTGAATGGGTCAGTGCCAGCTGTCCCTTAAGACCCTCCTCTCGAGAGTTGTTGGAGGAGACTCAGCAGCCTAGCAGATGAGTAATATGACACAGAGGGTTTGGATGATACAGTACAGTAAGAATTTTTCATTTTTAGTGGTGGTTAGGAAAGCAGGGCCAAAGGTTACTTCCATCACCAAAGGGCTTTTACAGTGAGTTAGTGTTTCCCTTTTTGAGTAACTACATCAACCTGTAGGTGCTCCCTGATGGATAGACTATGTAATAGTCACACTCTTTGTAAAGTACACCTAGGGGTTCGGTGCCTACTTTGATATGTGGGTTGGAGAAACCGGGGATTAAACCACCAACCCTATGGTTATGGGGTGATCTGCTCTACCTCCTGAGCCACAGCTGCCCACATGTTAATGCTTTTTTTTACAAAACAGGGGTATTAATATACTACACAATCCAGGGAGACCGCCCTGCTGTATGAGCAGCTGCATCTAAGGTTACTTAGAAATAACTTGAGGGGGACCGAGCTGGCAGACTGTCACAGACATCTTGGAAATCATATGGCTATAGCATGAAGTGGCAGGGATTCTGGCCAAGTCTGCCTCTTAGTATGCTGGTGCTTACATCTAAGAACAGAAGGTGTATTTAGATATTTTCAAGTTAGGATACAAAGTACCTGAAATAGTGTTTCTGAACTTGTTTTCACATGTTTTGTTTAATTGAGAGATATCCCCATAGAATGAGAGAGTGTAGACTGAAGCACATTACACATGCTGTATACACATGTCAATCCATTGAGGCACATAAATATAGGGATTTTGTTTGATATAAGATTAACTTTGAGCGAGCAGTTAGACGTGAACTTAAACAGAGTACACATCACTTGACAAGCTGCTGTTTGACAGATGTTAATGCTGCCAGCACTGTAGTAGGAATACTACTGCAGTGGCTGTTGAGGTAGCCTACTATGCTTCACACGCTTTCTTTCCTACTTGTCATCTTTGATTTCCAGCTTAATGCTGATGGTGTAAGATGTGTTGCACTTGCACTATAGCTGCTTGTTTAAGACTGGAACCAGGTTACATCTTAAGAGCTGATCTCACTGGACAGGACTCCGCTTTAATCCTCAGTGTTTGTAAGTGTGTGGGTGTGTGTGCAGGACCCACTGTGTAAGCAGTGCAGAGTTGGTGGTCCACAGTGGGCTATATAAATATTATTCACAGCATATAGTAAATGCTCTGCAAGTCAGCCACGCAAGGCCATGTGCATAGTCTCTGGAGGAAAAGAGACCAACGCATCTACCCAGTTGTAGAGGTCAGGAAAACCAGTCATCAAACTGTTGTGAACAAAACTGTGTTTAAAATCCAGATTCCTCACAGGCCCGTTCCGCCTTCTGTAAAATATCTAGTCTGTATTTGGGAAATCACTAATCATATGTGACAATTACAAGGCAACAGCTGGTCTCAGTTACTAGAATAACATTTCAGGGCAGCAACATTTCTCATTCATCATGCTTATTGTCCTCACTGTCATTGATCAACTGGGCTTCTCTCTTGTCTGGACATAAACGTGCAAGTTCAGTCTAGGAAATCCACGTCTGTGCTTAAGCTTCGATTACAGCAGTTAGCTACTATTATTAATTTTCTGCTTTGCTCTTGGCTTGTTCAACATACAATATGGACGTCGGCAAAATATTATGAATTGTTATTACCTCTGCCAAAGATCAGGATTATGTTTGTTGGTTTGTTTTTTAACAG